AACAAAAGGACATGAGGATATCCCTGCCGATAAAAATGGTCTTTAAAATATCGTAACTTAAATATTTGGAGAGCACCAGCTAAGGCACAGGGTCTATAACTTGATATACATCACTCAGCAACAAATCTCCGTTCTGCGTTCAGTTGGCCAAGTCACACGAGCAACAGCAAATTCAAGAGAGACGCTGACTTAGTCAATAATGTAGAAATACAGATTGAACAACCCAGGGTAACTCAACAGGATATTACTAAGCTGAGATAAGCATCAGGCTAGGCTCTTTAGACATCATATCTTGTTTGGGGATTTTCTTCTTGAAGCCAAATTGTCTTAGATGGATGGGTCTAGTAATTCCTCTGACGCACAAGTAAGTGTAGTCACTATCCTCTGCCTGGTTTTGAGGCTTCTTAATTGGGCTATGGATCAAGGCATCTTGGAGGCAACTTGAGGCAGAAGAAAGAGATCCACTGGATTTGGAGTTTCTGAGTTCAAACCCTAGTCTTGTTAACTTAATACCTTTATGACATTAGGCAACATACACTCCCCTCCCCCACCCTAGTTTCCTTTTTTATAAAATAAGGGCCTTCAATTAGAAGGCCCCAAGCAGCAACTCCAGCCCCAAATCTACAATCCTGTGAGCCTGTATGCTGAAGAATAACTAAGCTTCTAATGATAACTCCTTTTACTTTTTGTATCTCAAAATGGAAAGACTATAAAAGAAATGTATGGAGTACGTAATAATAGTAAACAAGCAGTTCCCATTTTTACCCTTTAGCAAGAAAGACCATTACCAAAAATGAGTCAGAACTCATGGGGATAAGGTAGGAGTTAGTTAGGTCTGTGACCTCACTGGTTCAGGGAACTACTAGGTAAGGAAATTGCCTCTCTACCAATGCAGGGAGGTGTACATATGTACAAAAACTAAGAAGAGGAGGGAGTCCATCAGCTGGGGAATGGCTAACTAAATTAAGGTATATATAGATAATGGAATATTATTGGGCTGTAGATGAATTCAGAGAAACTTGAGAAGCCTTACATGGAACTGATGCAGTATGAAATAAGCAGAACCAGGAGAACAATGTCTACAATAACCCCAACATTGTAAAAAAAAAAAAAAACCACAGCTCTGATATATCAGAATTCCGACCAATACAATGATCAACCATAATAACCTGAGAAATAATGATGAAGTACACCAGACACTACCATCTGCCTGACAGGTTTAGACTCAGGGGTAAATAGATAGAAATTTTTTGGACATGGCTTTGTTTTGCTTAACTATGCTTACACTTGTGATAATGTTGTTTGTTTGCTTTTAATGGAGGGAGGAGTGGAGTTTGGGAGAAAAGAGGGATTAGAAATAGTGATACAAAAAGAAAAGAGGGTTATTTCAACATTTGTTTGAAAAAGGCACAGAAAGGCGCAGCTAGGTAGCACAGTGGATACAGTGTCAAGCCAATAGTCAGGAGGATCCAAGTTCAAATCTGACCTCAGACACTTACTAGCTGTGTGACCCTGGGCAAGTCCCTTAACCCCAGCTGCCTCAAAATAGATACAGAAAGATAGACAGATGATAGATAGATAAATAGGTAAAAATGTACATAAGAGAATAGGAGGTTCAGAAGGAGACAAAGAATCAGAACAAGTTTTAAACTAATATACTGAATTTTTTATGCAATAAACATAACGGATTTGTGTAGACATCCATTCCTTTTTTCTGTTCTCTATGGGTAAAGATCCTATTTGTCAATGTATATTTTTTGTTCAGAACAAAAACAAAATAATATTCAAAATGATTCAGAAGTTGCCTTTCCTACAGGTCTGCCATTCCCCAAATGCCACCTCCAGAAGTGAAGGACTCCACTAGACATTTTCCCAGTCTCCGGTGATGTGCCAGTTTCACCTGGGGCAACTAAGGCCAGTTAAGAAAAACAGCCTGCTTGAACAAACAAACTTTATACAAAAAATGACAGCCAACCTACACCACATATTTTACCATTCTTAGAATCTAAGGCAAGGAAAAGAAATTTAAAGCATCTCAATATAAGCATATAAAAAAACACTAGTATACACAATCTGCCACTGAAAGAATGAATCTTTGTACATAAAGTGAACGTATCAAATAAAATACTGCTATTGCTCTGGCATCTTAACAACGTTCAACAAACACGTTTTAAGTGATAACTAGCAGAGGGCATTCTCAGAAGTGCTGGGGTTGTTGTTCAGTCATGTCCTACCCATCTGGGGCTTTCTGGGCAGAGATAATGGAATGGTTTGCCATTTCCTTCTCCAGCTCATTTTACAGATGAAGAAACTGAGGCCAGTAGTGTGAAGTGACTTGCCCAGCATCATACAGCTAAGTAAGCATCTGAGGCTGAACTCAAAGAGATGAGTCTTTCTGACTCCAGGCCTTCGTTCTAGAGTATAAAAATGGGGGGGGGTGCAGAGAAATAGTCCTTGTCCCTCCAAGAGTTTATAATCTAAATGGGAGAAGAGAGGGGAAGAAGACAGAGGAAATGTTCAATAGAAAATAAGGGGGGAAAAAAAGGAGAGATCAGGGTTTCAGACAAAAGGGCTTCAAGAAGAAAGAAAATGTGAGAACACAGATCATGTTTCAGATAATACAGATATAAAGTAAGGGAAGCAGCTTTGATATAGTGGAAAGAAAAAACAGTAGGCCAGAAAGGAAAGGAATTCAAATGCACATCTAAAGCACCTAGCTCTTTGGCCTTGGGTGAGCCACTTCAATCTTGCTGGGACTAAGCAAATTTCCTCATCTTTAAAAGAAGGAAGGTTGCACAAGATGGGTCTCTTTCAAAAAAAAATTACATTAAAAAAAATGGGTCTCTTAATTCCCCACCTACTCCAGATTAACAATCCTAAAGTCTCAGGCAGGAGCAGACTGGAGAGCCGGGCCTTGAGGAAAGGGAATGATTTTCTTCCAGGCAGAGATGACGGCGTACAGCCCAGCCACAGAGGTGCGGAGCTGAGAAGAAACAGCTTGTGCTAGTAATAACTCAATTAAGTCCAGAGGCTTCTCCTGTCTCCTGCAGGATCCGGCATTCAAAGCCCTTCCTAAACTAGGCCCCTCCTACCTTTCCAGTCTTCTTAAACTTTACAGGCACTCTTAGATCTGGTGACTCCTGCTGTTCTTCTGTCACTCAGTTCTGGTCCAGCCTCATTTCTGCCTACCGGTTTCCTTTAAGGCCCAACTAACATCCCATCTTCTACAGGAAGTCTATCTCAGTCCATCTTAATTCTACTGGTTTCTCTCTAGTAATTATTTCTTAGTTATCCAGTCTATAGCTTGTTTGCATATGTTTGTAGTTTCCCCTATTAGACCGTAAGCTCCTTGAGGGCAAAGGCAGTCTTTGGCCTCTTTTTGTATCCCCAGTGCTTAGCACAGTGCCTGGCACAAATAGCAACTTTAAAAATGTTTATTGACTGATTAATTAATAACATCCAAAGAAGTAGGAAATTGTAGGAGGAAATTTGGGAACAGTAAATGGTCCAATTGAGCTGGAATGAAAAAAGTTAAAGGAAGCATAAAATAAAGTTGGAAAAGTAGGTTGGAAGGTTGGGGGGGGGGGATCTTAACTGCCAGTAGAAGATATTTCTATTTCTTTCTACAGTGACCTAGCCACTCTAGGTGTTGAATCAGGGAATGACATGGTCAGTCCTAGGTCCCAGGAAAATTACTTTGGCAGTTAATCGAAGAATGGATTGGAGAGGGGGAGATACTGAAAGCAAAAGAATTAATTATTAAAAATAGTCCCGGCGAGAAGTAAGCAAGGCCTGAAACTAAACTACAAAAAAGGTTTTGTAACTCACTTGATGTACAATGCTAACCCATCCCCACCCATCTCCAGGTCAACAGGCAACTCAGTATAAACCAAAAAAACCCCCAATGGATCTGAATTCTAGTCCCAGCTCTGCCACCACCTGCCTGACCTTGAGCTAGTCAATTTCCCTCTCTGGGCCTCAGTTTCCCCTATCTGAAAAAATCAGAGATTGGACTAAAATGGACTTTTTCTAGGTGTAAAATTACTCTCCATTTTCCTCTAGCAGCTCCGCTCGGTTGACTGCCCCCCAATACATCCTGGTGCCCCCTTTTTCAGCTTCCTTTTGTATTCTGTCTTCCCCCTTTAGACTGTAAGCTCCTTGAGGGCAAAGACTTATTTGTATCCCCAGGCCTAGCACTATGCCTGGCACTTAATAAATGTTTATTGAATTAAAATTAAATTAACATTCTGTGAATCCTTCCTTGCCCAAAGACTCCACTATAAAATGTCCTTCTCCTTCCAATCTAACAAATGTATTTCAAGTGCCCACTACAGGGGAGGGCCAAGAAGCAGCTCTGCAGCAGTAAAGAGAGTTGGCTTTGGTGGTGGGGAAACTGAGGGAAGTACTGCCTCTGATACATACTGGCTCTGTGACCTTGGGCAAGTCACTTTACATCTCTGGGACTCAGTTTTCTCATCTGCAAAAAAAAAAAAAAAAAAAAAAAAAGAGATAGGTCTAGATGACTGCTAAAGTTCTTTTGGAGCTCTAAATCTTCAATCTAGTGAAGGCACCACGCTAGGCGCCTGGGGATACAAAGAGTGAATGCAAACACTGGCTCCCCTCAAGGATTTCATGCATAATGAAGTGGACTGTATTCGCTTAAATGTTATCTGGAAATGTTTCTTAGTTACTTCCTGGAGGGGGTGGGAGAAGATCATAGTTAATGAGCAAGATGTCTGCATATACTGCCACACCAATGAAATGAGGAATAAAAAGAATAAGATAACATCAGTTGGAAGGTTAAAAAAAAAAGCAGAGGGAACCCACACATTGACTCGGTTATGTGCTTTTTAAGAATCAATTTGCCTTCCTTCACTCAATTTCAAATACCTTGAAACTACTAACTTTATAAAATAATGCTAGGTAATCAGTGCAAAACCAAAAAGTTAATTCAGTCTTAGTTGGAATTAATCAACTCTATGTAAGCTACTATTGTCTACCTTAAAGAGAGAACTGAACATATCTTCTCTAAGCAGCAGAAGTAGTTTTCTCTTCTTCGTGATATGGGGGGGGGGATGACAGAGTATGCGCCGCTCTGCTTAGGGGCTGATCCTTTTGGCCAGATATTGGCTCTTGGGAGATGGCTGCCTTTGATCTAAAAAAAAAAAACAAAACAAAACACACACACACATACCACCTTTCTATGCCTAAAGAAAACAAAGAGAGCCTTGTGCAGAATAGATCAACTCTAAAAACAGGCACTTCTTTAAAAAAAAAGTGGCAAGGTCTTTAAAAAGAAAGTCTAGTCATATTAAAATAATTCAAAATCTACAAAGCACAAGGGAAAGAAATTTTTCAAAAATTGCTCTGAATACTAACTAAGCCCAGGCCTGGGGGCAGCTCCCTCATAGCTTGGGAGAATAAGACAAAAGTGTGCAGTAACAGTGAAAAGACACACATCATCATCATCATCATCATCATCATCATCTCCCCAGCCAAAAAGCACTCACAGGAAGTACAGTAACCATACCTCCTTTACCATCAGAAAACAGAATGAGCAATGAGTGTGCCTCTAAGGCCTAGAGAGGATTAAAAATTTCATTGGGAAGACACTGTCGGGGAGGCAGGAGCCCAGCTGGGTCGTTATTCTTCCTGTCCTTCTTCTCACCTCTGTCCTCACCGGCTGGTATCCCTTTCAGGAATAAGGTGGCAGGCAACATGGGGGAGATCATTAAAGGAAATAAATCTCCCTGAGATTGGGAAGGGGGTGACCACGGACTACTGTAGGATCCCCCTCTGGTTTTCTATTTCTTTATTGGGTTTTTTTGTTTGTTTTTGTTTTTTTGTTTTTTGGCTAGGCAATGGGGTTAAGTGACTTGCCCAGGGTCACACAGCTAGCATTATGTGTCTGAGGCCGCATTTGAACTCAGGTCCTTCTGAATTCAGGGCCAGTGCTCTATCCACTGCGCCACCTAGCTGCCCCCTATTTCTTTATTGTTGTTGAGTCATTTCAGTCATGTCTGATTCTTCATGACCCCATTTGGGGTTTTCTTGGCAAAAAGATAATGGAGTGGTTTGCCATTTCCTTCTCCAGCTCATTTTACAGCTGAGAAAACTGAGGCAAACAGAGTTAAGTGACTTGTCCTGGGTCACAGTCTGAGGCCAGATTTGAACTTAGGAAGATGAGTATTCCTGACTCCAGGCCCAGTACTCTAACCATTATACCACCTACACCTAGCAGTCCAGTTTTCTATTCACAGTTGCTTAAATAAATCCCTTTTCTTTTTTATTTTGGAACAGGGGAAGAGAGACAAATCTCAAGTGGGAGACAGAAGAAAGAAATGAGGATATACATTTTATCATACACCGTGTACTCAGCAGTTGTTTGAGAAATGCCTTTTGAATGAATGGCAAAGTAGTTCAGTTTTTAAAAATTTCAAACTTGCACCTGATTTATATTAAAAGACAAAGAGCATCACAATTCTTATTACATTATTCTACATAATTACAAATTATTCTCCAATGATCTCTTGACTAACTCATGCTGGGAAAAATGTGTCCTTAATTTTAGATCTAGTACATGTTTTTAAACCAAATGGGGTTGGTGTGCATTTGAACAACTGACACAAAACTTTAGCCTAACAAGAGAGAAATCTCTGATTATTTTTTTTAAGGCAGAAGAAAAACCAAGCAAAAAAAGGGGGCAACTATTCCAATTCTGGATGTGTGTACACAGGAAATCAAAACAGTTATACGATCAAAGCAATAAAATGGGGCCTCAGGTATGTCTGACAGGCTCCAGATAATTTAAAGGAACTATTTGCTGCCTTGGACTCAGAAAGCACCGGGCCGGAGTTCTGGCTGTGCCACTTAGTCAACTGAGCATTTGTTAAGGCATACAGCAGGTGCTTAATGTTAGTTGATTGATTACTATGTGCCCGGCACTGTGCTAAACTCTGGGGAAGTTGCTTAACCTCCCATACCCACTTAAGTGGCTGTGTCCTAGTTGCTGATGTTTATGACCCCATTTGGGATTTTCTTGGTAGAGATCTTGGAGTAGTTTGCCATTTCCTTCTCCAGCTAATTTTACAAATGATGAAACTGAGGCAAACAGGGTAAAATGGCTTGCCCAGGGTCATGCAGCTAGTAATGTCTGAGGCCAGATATGAATTCATGAAGATGAGGTCTTCCCGGTTCCAGGCTAGAACTCTATCCACCTTGCCATGTGCCTATGGGCAAATAAATCACTTAACTTCTCTGAACCTCAGTTTTCTCATCCATAAAATGGAGATAATAATCAGGGGGCTGCTGTTGGGAAAAGTGAAAATCACTATATAAAGTGGCCTTTTAGTATCATCATCATGAACACAGGCTTCCTTTGCCACCATGGAAAAAAAAAGACTGGTTGGTACAGTCAAGCTAGTGTTAGAGAACTCTCAAATGAGGTTTCCTTTGTGCTGTTTACAGTATCATACTGTTCTCAGCCATGAGTCCCACTGCTCTTTACAAACATCTTTATACACATACACCCCCACATGACCCCCATTGCTGCGGAGACCCAGAAAGACACAGTGGTGATTCACTCACAGACTACAAAAAGACTACAAAGATCGATGAACACACTGGGAGAAAACACAGGTTCACAGACTGTGAGGAACATCTATCTTGGCAGTTAGTTCTTTCCAAGGTAGAGCTATCAAAAGCAGAATTTTTTAAATTTGAAAATACAATTCAACCAAAATACTGATAACTTAGCTATTCCTCTTTGGTACCAATAATTCCCACAATGCCTCCACCCCAAAAAAGAAAAAAAAGATTTATTTATTTTTACAAGCCTTGAGAATCTTTAACTCTCCAGCAGTAAAGCTTTACAACATTACTTAGGTCTCAAGATACATTAGTCAGCCTGGTTCTGACACGGGGCAAAGTCATTTAACCTCGATTTAAAATCCTCCTGTGTAAAAAGGCCTGGCTGAATGCTTAAGCACAGCATTAAAACTAAGATACCAGGTGATGACTTCAGAGCCATCTTGAAGTTAGCAGATTATCTAAAATATGGCCAGTCTGAACAAATCACTTACTATTCCAAACTCAAATTCATTTGCGGGCTTCTGTAGCTACACTTATCAGCAGGAACAAGTACAACTATATTCTCCAAGTGGGTTACTTTTAACCCAATACAATAAGTATTTATTAAGCACCTACGATTTGGTAGGTTCTGAGGATAAGGAGGAGAGGAAGTCTCCACTAAGAGCTAATGAACATCACTTTATCACCCAAAGTCCAAGCATTATAGATATTAGGGCTGGAAGGGATCTCAGAGGTCATGCGTCCAATCTCCTCCTTTTACAGACGAGGAAACCGAGTGTACGCACCTTAGTGTCTAGCCACTGAATTTGAACGCAGGTCTTCCTACCCCCCACCCCACCCCTCAATATCCACCAAGTAGCCTCTCCAAATCAATCAAAATTCCCTTAACAAGGTTAACTCCTCGTTAACAGGATTAACTTAGGCGGGACACATTTTCTACAGAAGAAACTTGAAAAAGAAGGAACTCACCTAACCTAGGCTTTAACACCAAAGGCCAGCAAAGCATGAGATTAAATGAACTAAAGAAGCCCACGTTCAATCCACCGTCCCGGTAGTATATTACTAAGGAGTTGGAAATGCACCACCCCAAGTGAACAGGCTGGGAAGCGCACACCTTAACAAGTTAAGGCAAGTCCGACTAAGGAAAAATAAATTTACAAATCAATTTGCACACTCCAGAGTGCTTGTCTTTTTTTATAGTCTGTTTAAAGTCTAAACACCCAAAGGGTACAACTGTGTCTTCACAAGTTCCTACTTCCGAGAACAGTAGTTGGTGGGGATGAACCTAAGCTATTTTACGGCCAAAGAGGGCTGGAAAGTGCAACTTGGTTGGGCTTTCCCCCCCGATTCCGATGGAGGAGATTCCCGTACCGGAGGGTTTCCAGTCGAAGCCTGGTGACCACCTGTCGGAGATGCAGCAGCGGGGATTCCCTTACAGGTGGGGGATGCACTAGCCGACCCGGGAGGCCCCTCCCCACACAGAGTCTGGGATTACATGATTCACTAGTGACTAGAAACCCGGGCTGCAATGAGATCAGCGACAGAGATACCAAAGGGAAATCCTCATAAAAGCAGGATAGGAGACCCGCCCCTGAATCAGGTCAGCAGACCAGCCCTTCCTGAGGCCCATAGATCCCGCACCCCCAGCCCAGCGGCTGCACCCGAACCTCGGGGAGCGCGGACCATCTGAGCTGGGCAGTTCCCCCGACGGCCAGCGTGCGCGCAGCTCCGGCCCGGAAGGAAAGGGGCAACGCGGAGCCGTAGCTCTGACCATGCTCCCAGGGGTCGAGACAGCATTGGGGGCTTGGAAGGAGTCTCCCTGCACGCCCCACCCATGCAAATAAATCGAGGACCCCTCCTTCTACCAGCACGGAGCCCTCCCAGCTTCCCGGCGGAGCTTCGGTCCCCGCGAGGCGCAGGAGCTGTGACAGCCACCCCCGAGCCCCAACTGGCCCGGCTCACCTGGCCTGCGCAGCAGCGGGCTGACATCACGGCGGCTGCACAGGAGCAGCGCTCTGCCCCGACGGCTCCCGGGCTCCAGCGGCCGGACCACGCAGCACCAGCAGCCTCACGCACCTCCCACTTCCAGCGATCACTGCAGCTCCGAGCTCCGAGGGCAGTCCAGCAAAAACAAACGACCTTCAGCCCCGCCCCCTCTATCAACCCCAGGCCCCGCCCCCACCTCCCAGGACAGACAATGAGCAGCGATGCGCCCCCTTCCACTCCTGCCTCTCAGGAGCCGGGGAGTGATAGGTTCTAGCTTTGCACTGACTTCCGCTGTCGTCAGGACAGCCCAGGCTGTAAATTACTTCCCGGTGGGAAGAAGTAGTTGCTCCCCAAACTTACCTCCTTTCCCACACTACTGTAGAGGAGGAGAGGAGCTATCTATGAGCTCTCCACTCCCCTGGTTCTTGCATAAAGAACTGGGTAAGGGGCTGATTGCACTGATTAAAGGAAAAGAGGCTTTCGCCCCCAAGTTTTTCTCTTTACCCGGATCTGCTGGGAAAATCAGCTTGTCTGGGAATGACAAAAATTCTGCTCCCAGAGAAAATGCAGCCTCGTAGAGTGGCTAAAGGCTAGATATAGAACTGGAAACCTGCTTTAAAATCTTGCCTCACGTTATTAACTAGCTTTGTGGTCGATTGGCAGCTCATTTTACCTCTCTGTGGCTCAATTTCCTTATCTGTAAAATGGGGATAATTATACTTGTACTAACTATGCTGCAGAGTTGTTGTAAGGAATGCGCTTTGTCCACGTAAAAGCACTTCATAAAACGTAAGATGTAATGTGCTGTTAATTTCAGAATGTTCCATTAACTACTGGATGATGAGCATTAGCTAGGTCAAGGCAAAGATAAAGGAATAAAGGCAGAGACTAGCCTGAGCTCTTCCAAATAACCCTGCAAAATGAGTTGAAAAAGGACAGGGTGAAACTATTTTCCAGCCCAGGACAACTTAGAAAATCTGGAGGTTGTGCCACCGAAGGCCGTGCCTGGCAAACCAGCATAGCAGCAGCTTCTGGGACTCTCAGTCCACAGATAGTCAATGGGGTGGGGCAGGGTCAGAAAACTGGTCAGAAGGAGATTATAGGGGGACGCTGTGTTGTCACTGGATGCAGGACTCTATTGTATTGCCCAGACAAGGTTCCAGTTCCCAGTCCCAGTTCAAGGACACTAGTGTGCTGGCAGTAGGGACCCTGGTCACAGTTCCAGGGTAGAAAAGAGTGCTTGTGGTCCCTCACAGACTAGAGCAGAGACCAGAAGATCACTGACCACATGGCCTTGGAAAAACTGAAAACTTACAGATGGCCCCCAGAACTAGCTCTGAAAATAACAGCACAAAAAACCTGAAGCTTGGAACAGGTATTCTCCTCCTGGACAACAGAGCCCAGCTTTAACATAAGATCAAGAAATAGGTTGGGCAAATGAGCAAACAATGAAAACAAGAACCTGACCTCAGAAAGCTACTATGGTGAAAGGGAAGATAAAAACAAAAACTCAGAAGAAAACAACATAATGAGAACAGCTACATCCAAAGCCTCAAAGAAAACCATGAGTTGTCTCAGGACATGGAAGGGCTCAATAAGGATTTTTAAATCAAATAAGAAAGGTAGAGGAAAAATTGGGAAAAGAAATGAGAGTGATACAAGAAAATCATGAAAAAAGAGTCAGTGGCTTATTAAAGGAGGCACAAAAATACTGAAGAAAATAACACCTTACAAAACAAAATAGGCCAAATGTGAAAGAGGCACGAAAATCCGCTGAAGAAAAGAACTACTTAAAAAACAATTGGCCAAATTGAAAAAGATGTACACAAACTCACCAAAGAGAAGACTCCTTAGGAAAACTGAATTGGCCAGATGTTGCTGTTGTTTGTCCTTCATTCTGGAAGAGGACTGATAACATCAAGAGGATGATGTCTTGACTTGCAAGTGAATTGGATTTAAGTGAGTCAGAGCTGTGCAAAGCTAGATGGAAAAGGAGATGCAAAAGCTCTCTGAAGAAAATAATTCCTTAAAAATTAGAATTGCACAAGTGGAAGCTAATGACTCTGTGAGACATTAAGAAACAATAAACCAAAATCAGAAGAGTGGTAAAGGTAGAGCTTTATAGGAGCCATTCCTCCTCATATAAGGCAGGGTCTGCTGGCCTCTCAGTGCCCCCTTCATTTTTTAGGGGAACTAGGAAAAGATCCAGATGCTGTCCTCAAGCACAAGTCCCTGCTAGGGTCCTTCACAATAATCAAAATAGTTGGCTCTGACTGCAAATAACCCATATAAACAATCCCTGCCTAAAAAGAACTGCTTGTATCACTTTTCTATAATTCAATGCCACCCACAGGTGCTTAAACAAAACTATTTATTTTTATTCTGAACTAAAAAAAATAAAATGGACATTTTAATCTATGTAAAACAGGAAAAAAAAGATTTTGCATGAAAATTGTAGATCTATGGAATAAGTTCATATTGGTTTTCTTTTTAAGTTAGTAAATTCAACCTGTAGCTTTAAAAGCTATCCTGTCTGCCTGTGTTTTCTGGTGTTTTATCTGTGCATTTTTAAAAGATGCCTCATGGCATCTTTTTTTTTAAATTTGTGCTACCCTATTGATATGGCCCCCTAACCTAGCCATCCCTATCCCCCATCACCCATTTTTACCTATCCCCCACTTCTGACAAAAGAGGAAAAAAAATCCTTGTAACAGATATGTTGTTTATCCTTCCTTTTTAGATGACCAATAATATCACAGGATGATGTCTTGATTTGCTCAATTGAGGTAGAGTTATACAAAGTCTTTGGTCTCACTCTCTCTTCCTGAGTCATCAGAGTCCAGTGGCAAGACAAAAGTCAGTGTGACTGGCCATATCCTAGGATGCAGTGGATTACTTTATTATTGATTTTTTTTTTTGCTAGGCAATGGGGTTAAATGACTTGCCCAGGGTCACACAGCTAATTATTATGTGTCTGAGGCCACATTTGAACTCAGGTCCTCCTGAATCCAGGGTTGGTTCTCTATCCACTGCACCACCTAGCTGCCCCTATGCAGTGGATTACTTTGGCATCTTCGATGTCTGACCAAGCTCTAAGCACTCCACATCACCTGCTTCAACCACCTTCATAGCTATGGGAAATATTGTTCTCATCTGTCCATTCCACCAGGGGATGTCTTCATATGCTTGGGATAGACATCCCCCTAAGTCACCAAGGCCTGTTGGTACCCTTCAACCTTGTTTAGTCTGTTTGCTGAGATGGTTTTACCAGGGGATGACTAGCATGCTACAGTTTTTGAATCTACGGAAGAGAGATGAGTGAGTCAGGTGGTTGTTGTTTGTCCTTCATTCTAGAGGATCAGGAAGGTGATGTCATGACTTGCAAATGAATTGGATTTAAGTGAGGGAAGGCTGTGCAAAGTCGCCAGCCTCACTCTCTCCTCCAGAGTCATCTGGGTCCAGTGGCAAGATACAGATCAGGACTACTGGAGATGGCTTGGATGCAGTAGGAGACCTTGGTCTTTTTAAGCTCAGATCTTTCCCAGGTCTCTGGTTGACTGAGGCAACACCCATTCGGTGATTAAGGCTAGGTAACAAATGAGACAAAGAATGGCCTCTTTTACCTAGTTTAAAAAAAAAAGTCTGGGAGGGGAAGACCCTCAGGGTTTCAGGCCAAAAGAGAAACAATTGCTATTTATATGTACCCTGAGCAAATCAGGGCCCAAACAATGACCACTAAGTGTGGCTTGCCTATTGTTGGCCAATCAATGAGAGCCAGAGTTAGGTGGACATCAAAGATGGATAAGTACCCCTGAAAAGGGCTCAGCAAGCCCTCACATCAAAAATACTAGTCCTCCTTGAACACCCCATGTAACAAATGTACAGTCAAGCAAACCAAATTTCTACACTGGCTGTGTCTGAAAATGTAAATTCTATTCTTTACATCTAGTGTCTACCAAGAGGTAGGTGTTTCATCATTAATTCTCTGGGAGTCATGTTGATCATTGCACTCATATAGTTCTTAAGGCTTTCTAAGTTATTTTTCTTAATTATACTATCGTATATTATATAAATTGTTTTTATTCTTCTCACTTTGCCCTACAATCAGTTCTTATAGATCTTCCCAAGTTTCCTTGAAACCATCCATTCTATCATTTCTTGTAGTGCAATAATATTCCATTACATTCACATTCCATAATTTGTTGAGCTTTTCTCCAATAGATGAGTGTCCTCTCATTTCCAATTCTTTGCTATTAAAAAAAAGTTACTACAAATACTCTATACCTAGGAGTCCTTTTCCTCTTTATATGCTCTCTGTGAGGTAAAGGTGTCATAATTGGCACAGATGGATTAAAGAATATATATAATTTTATGGTTTTGGGGACATAGTTCCAAATTGCTTTCCATAATGTCTGAACCAATTCAATTTATAGGTTGGTTAATGTGCCTGTTTTGCCAAAACCCATCACCAAATGTTAAGTCGTGTCAGACTCTCTGTGACCCCATTTGGGGTTTTCTTGGCAAAGATACTAGAGTGATCTGCCATTTCCTTCTTCAGCTCATTTTACTGATGAGGAAACTGAGTCAAGCAGAGTTAAGTGACTTACCCAGGGTCACCCAGCTAGTAAGTATCTGAGGCTAGATTTGAATTCTGGTGTTCCTGACTCCAGGCTGGGTGCTCTATCCACTGTACCACCTAGCTGCCCCTCACCAAATCTTGTTTCCTTTTTTATCATCTTTGCCATTCTGATAGGTATGAGGTAGGACCTTAGAGTTGTTTTAATATGCCTTTTGCTAATTAACAACTTGGAGCATTTTTTTCACATGGTTAAATCTAGCTTGGATTTCTTCCTTTCAACGCTACCAGTTAGTCTATCTACCATTTATCTGTTAGGAAAATGATCTCCATAGGTGTTTGCAACTGCATTTCACTGTTTTGCTTATTATGCTAGTAACAACATTTGTATCACTGATAGACTTCTTTTGATTTAGTTTTGAACCCCATTGGGTTTTATTCTTTTGATTTCCCTTCAAAGATCGATCCTTTATTCTTAGTTTTTGGATGAATGACAGTAATGTACCAAATTTAAAAGTATTAAGAAAAAAAATTTTAAGGAAAAAGACAAAAAACAAAGATA